CACATTAACTGAACCCCCATTTTAGTTTTTATCCTGCCCCTATGTCTCTGGGGGCAGAAAGTATTTTTAAAGTATTTATTATTAGCAGGGTATAGTTTAAGAAATAGTACAGAGGGGAGGGTGAGAAGGATAAAAGATGAATGGGAAAGACTCAGGAATGCTCCATTCCTTTTATTTAAAGAAGATGCTTCTTTTGTGGAATTATTTGTAATTAGTTTGGTGGCAAAGATCACCACATGTGGGCATGTGAAAAGGAAAAGAGGAATTGGTGTGGGGGCCAGGATGTATGCGGTGTGTTTGTATTCATGCAAGACAGAGCATGTGTATTCTTGGGTGAATCTCATGGGCCAACATCAGTGTTGGGCAATTGTTCCAATACCAGACCATGGAAGGAGGAGGTTTTTGGGATTACTGTACAGTTCCCGGAATTACACAACCATCATCTTGCAGTATTAAAAGCACTGTTCCAATCTCTGCTTAAGACCATGCCCTGCTGTGATTGAATTTTGATTAACCTTAAATGTTATTGGCTTAATGGCAGCAAAGTAATATGTAATGTTACAATGGTAAAGTTCCTCTTGTTACCAGATCCAGCAGATATAATAGGTGCATAACAGTGAGTACATAGTAAAGTTCAGTTAATACAGATTAGCTATCTCATAATCATATTTGTAGCATCATTTGGTTTTTCTCTGTAGACAAATCTTCTGTTAATTAAGTTTGCAAGATGTTCTACAAGAAGCAGGCTGAGCAAAGCGTATAACTTTGAGACTATATTTGCTTGTATTCATATGGTGATAAAGAATACACAGCTCAGAAATATCTGTGCCTGCATGTGATTATCATGGGATGGCTATGGTCTAACTGTTTCTTCCACACTATTTCTTCAAGAAACAGTTGTTTTTTTGGAAAAAAAAAATTTTTTTGGACTACAGATCCAGGCAGATGTGGTAAACAACTTTACCAGGATCATCGCAGTTGCAACTATGGTGTTTAGCTAATAAATCCATCAAACACCACCATGTCCGACTTACCTGCCCTTAGTATGTTTAGTAGCTTCATTAATATATGTTTTACTTTCTCTATGTGCCCATGGGAAGTGTCAACTTGGGGGCGTCTACATGTAGAAAATTGGATGGCACCACCCTTTTGTGCTCAGAAGCAGGGTTTGGCAAGAGTGTACCTTTTTCCATACTATCAGTGCTTATTTGTCAGCAAATAAAGTGAGATTCTAATAGAGCCATCTAAATCTTTCTTCAGATACCTGGAAGGAGAAGGTCTATTCTCTCTTTTTTTTCTGTAAGCAACTGTGATCCAGATTAAGGTGGGCTGAGGGCAGATGTATGAATCATCTTGTCTGGAGGCAGCTGAGTTGGATTTGTCTTGGTGTTCTGTAAGTCACCCTTGCTGTTCGGTATTTCATTGGCAATTTCTTTCACAGGGAGAAATTGTTGTCAGTGGCTATAAAATACCCTGTAATTAGTAAATTTATAACTTTTCCACCATCCACAGGACAAATAGAAATTCAGGAGGTGTAGCTGTTCTCATCATTGTAATTCTAGACTGGGGGGACATTCCACCTACCAGACTGCTGCCCTTGAAGCTGTTCAGATCACAGAGTTACTAACAAAGGGTGAACCTGAAAGTATTGTTGTCCTGCAGGTTGCATTAGCGTAGGCAGGGGTGAGTTGTAATGGGAGTTGCAGTCCAGCAGCTGGAGGCCTGAATGTTACCCACAAACAAGAAAAAAAATACACATCACAGCTGGGAAGCAACTCTGAATTATCTGAGAACTTCTATTCAGTACTTTTGTAGAAAGATTTGAACATGTTTTCAGTTCTTTGTTTAGGACCAGGCAGAGTTTGGAAAAGTCATACTGTATTTGGAAAACAGCTCCCGGGTTCATTCTAGACTGGGGGGGGGCATTCCACCTACCAAACTGCTGCCCTTGAAGCTGTTAAGATCACAGAGTTACTAACAAAGGGTGAACCTGAAAGTATTGTTGGCCTGCAGGTTGCATTAGCGTAGGCAGGGGTGAGTTGTAATGGGAGTTGCAGTCCAGCAGCTGGAGGCCTGAATGTTACCCACAAACAAGAAAAAAAATACACATCACAGCTGGGAAGCAACTCTGAATTATCTGAGAACTTCTATTCAGTACTTTTGTAGAAAGATTTGAACATGTTTTCAGTTCTTTGTTTAGGACCAGGCAGAGTTTGGAAAAGTCATATTTGGAAAACAGCTCCCAGGTTCCCCCAGCCATCAAGGTCTAAAAAGTAACTCCCAGGTTGTAGTATTTAGATGCTAATTAGATGCCACACACATTTTCTTTGTATCGGTAATGAACAAGTAATGAAAGAGGAAAATCAAAGAGATGTACTGTTCCAAATTCTAGAGTTGTATGAACTGTCCTTCTTATCTATTTCCTGCAGAAACAGTTCAAAGCAAGTGTTTGATAATTAGTGATTTACTTCCATATCACTGTTGTGATAATATTTTTCAGGATGACAACAAATCATAAAGCAGATAAGGTCAGCACAGTGTCAGTTTCAGCCAATTTTCCAGAAGCACAAAAAGCAGGAACATAAACAGAAGCAGCAAATTGCTCTTAGTTCAATACAAAGTATCTGCTTATTGATTCTGACTTACTCCCAGAGAGCAGCTCCATAATAATCTTGCAGACAAACACATTCCCAGGAAACAGAGGTAACATAAATTTTAAAAATTGCTCTCCTTTCACATGCGTTCCCCAACATCTTTGCCATGGGAGGTGTTACCAAGAATTTGAATGAAAGGGATCTTTACAGACCAGAGTTTTGCAGCCCTTCATAAGGCCTGAGATTTGCTTTATGCCGTATTCTAAATTAGTAGAGGGGCATTTGTTCTCTGGCTATAAAATTTTCTTGTCTGGACCAAGGTTTTTTGGGGAAATACATTCTTGGATGTCAAGACTCAGATTTCCAAGCTGCTGTGGCCAGTGGCCATTGTAATGACCTTGGAGGACCTAGGATATATGAGGATTCTGGGTCCTATAGCCAAAAAAAGTAACTTTTCCAAGCTTGGTGCTGGACTTGTTGAACCTATAACAATAAGCCCAGTATATGGTATGTCCATAGATTTCTAAGCCACCTACATATTTATTTTATTTATGTATTTATTAGATTTATATACCACCCATCTAGAACATGTGAACATAGAGTCATTAAGAACATGACTAGATAGTGAGCCTTGGATTTGACCTTTCTTTGTGTGGTTGTTCCAGATATAACAGTTTCAATCCCAGTGAATGGTGAGGGGGTTTCAAGTCCAGAAACATCTGGAGGGCTGCATATTTCCCAGTCTTGTGATAGATCATATAGCCAAAGGGGGGAATGTGTGTCCCAAAAATAAAAACGAGACTTTAGCTTTCTGAACAGTTGGGCTCAGAAAGTGGTGCAATGTCTTTGGCACAAAAGAAGCAGTCTAAAATGGTATGAGCCCAAGAACCACAAGACACTTGTATAGTCAGATGCATATACTTAACGTAATGTACATGTAATAATTGTCAGGTTGTAGCTGTTGGGGATGCTCTATATTCTTTGTGAGAAAATGTGCACAATAAAATGTTTGATTCTGTGCTTTGCTCAGTGATCTGAGCACCTTTAGAAACCTAACAAGTTTCTGCTCTACCGCCATAGTTCTTCAGCCCATGGGTGTACTTCTGAGATTCTTGCAGTTCAGATGTTCAAAATCATAAACTAATCCCTGGAAATCATGAGGTAAAGACAGAATAACATTTCCTTCTGGTTGCTGAGGCTTTCACCTATTTCCAACCCCTTGCTTCTGGAGACACTCGTTGAGAGGAAATAAAAAGTAGCTTGGAAAACCTGACAGTTGGCTGCAGTGTAACTCAGTTCTCAGCATGGTCCATTTTGTGACTGTGCTTGTTGATCACCATGCTACCAGGAAGACACCCCATCTTGTCTCATTTTATCTCACTGTAAGCAAGATCAGGCCTGATGTGTACATGTGTGAAATACCAGTAAAGAATGCCAGGATCTCTAGGTAGGGGTTGGAAGACTTCCTGAACTGATGGAGAGCTGTGTTCAGTCAATTGACAGTACTGAGATAGACCACCTGACACAGTGTAAGGCAACATCCCTTGTTCTTTGGTACACTTGGCTGGTACATGGAAGATGCCACCTTCTGTCAGGGATTAGGCAAGTTAAAATTTGAGTCATCTCTCAATATTGCTTGATGATTGCAAAACCTGTGCTTCTAGAATGCCAAAGATTATTCTCCTCCATCAGTTGAATGGCTTGAATTGATGTGACTTTCTGGAGTAATACATGCATGAGGTCATTATTGTCTTTAAGGATGTGTACTTCTCAAATTTTGTAGTGCAGTTCTCCGCTTAAGCGAATACAGTGGTGCCTCACTAGACAGTTACCCCGCATGACAGTTTTTTCGCTAGAGATTGGCTTTTTGCGATCGCTATAGTGATTCGCAAAACAGTGATTCCTATGGGGGAAATTCACTGGACAGTGTTTGGTCCCTGTTTCACAAACCGATTTTCGCTAGACAACAATTTTGACAGCTCCCTCCATGCTCGCAAACAGGTGTTTTTGGAACCTAAGCTTCGCAAGACCGCGATTTAAACAGCTGATTGGCGGTTTGCAAAGTGGCTTTCCTATGGCTGATCTTCGCTAGACAACGACGATTCTTCCCCATTGGAACACATTAAACAGGTTTCAATGCATTCCAATGGGGGAAATGCTTTTCGCTAGACAATGATTTCGCTAAACAGTGATTTCAGTGGAACGGATTATCATAGTCTAGCGAGGCACCACTGTATACTGAAATATATTTTAAATCAGCCTAGTGGTTTAAATGTCTAGGGCTCACCCCAAGGAGTGAAGGAGTGGGTTGTGGATAAAGAAAAGCACTGATTTCTTGCCTCATTTGTAGTTTGGGAAGTGTTCCAACCTATCCCCCATTTAACAGAGAACTGTGCTTTGTTTTAGGTTGGTGGAAACAAGCACACAATGAATGAACACCTACATGTTGCTAGCCATGGACAGATCCAGGTTCAGCAGCTGTTTGAAGACAATAGCAACAAAAGGACGGTTCTGACAACGCAACCAAATGGGCTTACAGCAGTAGCGAAATCTGGACTGCCAGTGGTGCAAGACAGACAGCTGGAATCTGCTCATCGGCGGCAGGGAAGCTCCAGTTCATTGAAGTCAACGGAAGGCCCAGGTAAGATGAAAACCTCTCTGATGACACCCGAGCAAACAATGAAGCAATACATGCAAAAGCTAACTGCCTATGAGCATCATGAGATCTTCAGTTACCCTGAAATATATTTTTTGGGTCCAAATGCGAAGAAGAGACAAGGTGTGATTGGTGGTCCAAACAATGGAGGATACGATGATGACCAGGGCTCTTACATACAAGTACCCCACGATCATATATCGTACAGATATGAAGTCTTGAAGGTTATAGGGAAAGGAAGTTTTGGGCAAGTGGTGAAGGCCTACGATCACAAGATGCATCAGCACGTGGCCCTGAAGATGGTGCGGAACGAGAAGCGTTTCCACCGCCAAGCCGCTGAAGAAATCAGAATCCTGGAGCACCTGAAAAAACAGGATAAGGATAACAACATGAACGTTATACACATGCTGGAAAACTTCACATTCCGCAACCATATCTGTATGACATTTGAGTTGCTAAGCATGAACCTTTATGAGCTCATCAAGAAAAACAAATTTCAGGGCTTCAGTCTGCCATTGGTCCGCAAGTTCGCCCACTCCATTTTGCAGTGCTTGGATGCTTTGCATAAAAACAGAATCATTCACTGTGACCTTAAGCCAGAGAACATTCTGTTGAAGCAGCAGGGTAGGAGTGGCATTAAAGTGATTGATTTTGGCTCTAGCTGTTACGAGCACCAGCGTGTCTACACTTACATTCAGTCACGTTTTTATCGTGCTCCAGAAGTCATCCTTGGTGCTCGTTATGGGATGCCCATAGACATGTGGAGCCTGGGCTGCATTCTAGCTGAACTCTTGACAGGTTATCCTCTCTTACCAGGAGAAGATGAAGGAGATCAGCTGGCTTGTATGATAGAACTGTTGGGCATGCCTTCCCAGAAACTACTAGATTTATCCAAACGAGCAAAAAATTTTGTGAGCTCCAAGGGTTATCCTCGGTACTGTACCATTACTACCTTGTCCGATGGTTCTGTAGTGCTCAACGGTGGTCGTTCCCGGCGGGGCAAACTGCGTGGTCCACCAGAAAGCAGAGATTGGGGCAGCGCACTAAAAGGATGTGATGATCCCCTCTTCCTTGACTTCTTGAAACAGTGTTTGGAGTGGGATCCTGCCTTGCGCATGACCCCCGGTCAGGCATTACGGCACCCCTGGCTACGGAGGCGTTTGCCAAAGCCTCCCACTGGGGAGAAGACATCAGCAAAAAGAATAACAGAGAGCACTGGTGCTATCACATCAATTTCCAAGTTACCTCCAACCTCAAACTCAGCTTCAAAACTGAGGACTAATCTGGCACAGATGACAGATGCCAATGGGAATATTCAGCAGAGGACAGTGTTGCCAAAACTTGTTAGCTGAGTTTGAGTAATCGGATGCTGATAAAAAAAAAACAAATAAACAAGAGATATTACATCACTGAGCCTTATTCATATGAAAAAGTAGCTCAGATTTCTATTTTTATTTGCTTGGTAACTTTAAACATTTGTATTTTTTCAGTACTCACTTTAAATGTGTAAGAGAAGTTGGGTTTGATTTTATAAAAAAACATAACATGGGGACAATGCTTTAAGTTTTTACACTTTTTTTAATGAAAAGTTTTTTTCTTATAAAAATAACAGTCCGCCTTACTATGGGATTAGTGTGGCACAATAATAAAAAGATCAGTGGCAGGCCACTGATTATGACCTAACCATCATACATGATAGCTTGGTGGGGAGAAGGAGTTGTCACCTTCCCTCACCCCACAGTTCATCTTGGCTTTTCCTTGGAGTGGATTTTAAATGCTTTCCTGTTCCTAGGTTTTATTTTGTTCTCACAGTAAATTCCAGTCCTGCACACATTTCTCTCCTTTTTCTTTTGTCGATATAGAAAACATTCAGGGCTACACGTGAGATTCTGTACGGCTGTAGAAGTTGCATCCAATAATATGGATAATAAACAGATTTCCACACAATATTTTATATAAATATTTATTGTATAACAGTGAGAAAGTTGCATCGGTAGAGGGCTTCCATCCAACATTCATACCTGCTCCTGTGCCTGCCCCAGTCTCCTCTTGGCTGCCCCCTGTTGAATTTCCAGGGGGCAAATACTGAAATTTGGGAAAAGATATAAATATATGCAATACTTTCTTATCAAACTGAAAACTATTTTTACTACACTAACAACATAAAAGTCATATTCTATAACTTAGTCTGTAAAATTAAGTTGTTTGGGGGAAGTAAGACCCAGTTTGTTTAGTGACACTGAATCACAGGTAGGTGCACATAGAATTGGACTTTCAGAAGTATAAATGCCTTAGACTTCAGTCCTATATGAACATAAACCTGATTGTGCAGAGTTCTTGTCATTTTGTGGCAGGCTTGGGGTTTCTGTCTCAGTCCTTTGCAAGAAGAGGCAAAGGGGTTGGTTGATTGGCATGGCCAGGTCAAAAAAAGGCAGCAGATGTAGGAACCTCTCTATCTCCACTGTTGGTCAAAGATCATCATAAGAAGGCAATCAGCAATTGCGGGGCAAGCAGTGAAAGCCTTGTATACTCCTCTTACAAAGATAGCTGTCCCCATTAGGCAGCTTCATGCCACCTATATACTTAGGACTACAACTTCCATAAGTAATGGCCAGGGGTCAAGGATTATGAGAGTTGTAATCTAAAATATCTGGAGAGTACCAGGTTGACTCCCCCATTTAGTTGCAGGAACAAATTTGGAATTTGAATAAAAATATGCATAGCCTCAACTGATAATCTGCAGATTTCTTCATTATCTAAGATTTTATTTGCACATGCATTTTTATGCTCCCCCCTTTTTTTTAGAGGGACCTGATTAAGACATCGCAGTGGTTTCTATTTGGATTTTTTTTTTCTTACGGCCAACATAGATACTTTTGCTTTGCTCTGGATGGGAGTTACAAAAACCAGCAACAACTAGAAAAAGTCTATATGGCTTTTGACACACATCTTGCCTTAAAAAGTATTTTGCTTATTCTGGAAAAGAAAATCATTCATAGGAGTGTTTCGGGGTGTTCCTCCAAATTTTGAATATTCCCGTTCAGGGAAAAGAAAAGGAAAAAGTCCTTGGGTGGGAAAAATAATGACCGTTCCCCTCCTTACTCTCCTCCCAGACCTTCACTACATGGACCCAAGGGCAAACTGGTACTGTGCCAGCAGCATTCAGAAGAGTGTGGTGATAGGGCCTGACCATTTCAATGCTGGGCGCCATTGTTCTGCTAACGAGTCATTTTGGGATCTGTGGCAGCTTTGCCTGTTGCTTTTTCTGGGTCAAGACGCAAGATGTTTCAGCTTTACATGTGCTTGATGGTTGGAAAGTACAATAAAACACAACAAGCTGCAATAAACACTGAGTTGTGTCAAATGAGTACAAGTGTAATGCAGTTTTTAAATGGTTAGACTGTTGGTTCCAATACTGGGGGCCACAGATGCTCTTGGACTACAAATCCCCACACCCTGCTCATCACAGCCAATGGTCAGGGCTTCTGGAGATAATCGTCCATTAATATCTAGGTCTCTAATTTTGGGAATAACTGGTTTAAACCCCCAAGCTGACCTACATCTGTGCTTAGCCCTTTTTATTTTATTAAACATGAGAAAAAGATCAGATACGATAAAGATTGGAGAAATTGTTTCAACTTCACTCCAAATAAACTATAAACATACCATTTTATTTCTGTGAGACCTGCTTGCCACAAGCGGACTAAAGCTCAATGTTTGGTTTGATAAAAATCATCAGTCCACACTAAAATTCCAAGATTTAGCTCACGCCTGGGACTAGAACAGCCCAAGATGGTGATGCAGGGTATCTTTCCGGATACGTGCATATTCCCAGAGTCTAGTAAGCCTCCCTCTCAATAATTTGTTCTGCAAATCATCAGCAGTAAACTCCAGAATCTTCGGGGGAGGATGATTTTTTTTTCTGGAGCCACTCTAAATGTGAACATGTCATTCTTTACAAATGATTTAGCATCTATACCATGTGCTACCTTTTGTGTAAGTTTTTTAAAAAGTTGAAAGATGAATGAGGGTGGGGTGGAAGTATATTACTCTAAAATTATTATTTCTGAATGGAAGTCATGCAAGGCAGAATTTGTTATGCTACACTTTTAAATGTTCAGACAACATGCACGTTGGATTTTTAAAAAATTCTCTTCTGTGCTCTTCTGTCTTTTCCCAAAATAACATGAAACTTCGCATTTTACCATCTTGACCAACTGTCAACTGTCAAATAACATGAAACTTCGCATTTTCTATTCAAAATACAACTTTGTGAAATGGTACCTTCCAGAATTTTGTACAAATTTCAGATTGTAGGCATTTCCTAGGTAGTCTTCAGGCATGTTGCATCAGGAATCAAACTCCTCCAAGAGCACTCCTGTGTTCATTCATTTTAGTGGAGAAACATCTTGATGTATTTAATCTGTTCTGAGGAACTATGACCTAACTGAGATGTCATACCTTCAGATCAAGAAAGCTCTCTATGATTATCAGTACATTAACTATTTCACCAGATATGTGTAAAGGAATATTTGGGCTTATGAGTGTAATTATTATTTCTACCATATTGCTAGAAATAGCAGTGGCTGAAATCCTGTTCATTCTGGCATATTGTAGAATTAGGCCAGCGGAAGGATGCCGGGTGTTACATCCAGGCAACCAGTATTGTACAATCCTTGATTGTACAATCAATTACACACTCCCTGTCATGACTGCTGCACAAATGCTTGTTGAAGTGCTTCATGGGTAGCATTTCTTCCCTGCTGTTTTCCATCTTGCTTCCATGAGTTCACATTGAGCATTTGAAGCTGTGCAGCAGGATTTCAGCCAGTATGTCTCTGATGTTTCCCCCAACAATTATATTGCCCAGCACTGCCATTAGCATCTGGAGGCATTACTTGAATATTTAAAGAGGTGCCTGTGGGATATTCTAGTAACTGATGAAGTTGTGTCTTTTTGGTGCGTGTCCTTCCAGGGATGCTCCAGATCTGTCAAAAATTCCATTCAAGTGTTGAATGGTACAAGTGAGATACTGTTTGGTTGGTTTTAAGTTTATAGACTAAATTAAAAAGCGAGACAATAATAACATGAATTCAGTGTGGGTTAGGATACCTGAGCATTTTATACATGGAGAAAATCCATGTGTGAATGTGTGTCATTCTTTACCTTGATAGTTAAAGAAAACTTGGAAGGCAAAACTAGACATTTTTGTAGATTGTTTTGTTTCGTTTCTTTGCATCCTAATAAGATTAGCATGGTTGTTTTCAAGGAAAGACACCAGATCTCAGGATTGTTACTTCATTGGACAGTGCCCGGAATCTGCATGGCTGGGGGATTCTGGGTGATGCAGTCCAAGAAAGTAACATGTTCAAACTCTGGAAAGACCCATGAGGCCTGTTCACTTATACAGACCTAGGAAGATGACATTTTGATTAGATGGATGCCATATTGAAGTAAATAGAATCTGACCTGTTTCACCTTTTCCCCCCACAAAGAAGGACAGCCGAGACTGGTTGAAATTTCACTCCAGAAAGGAATGAATGAATACAGTCCTTCATTTCAAGGTGATTTTTCAGTGCAACCGATGTTGCTAAAATATATGTCACATATGCATTCATTATGATATTTGAAAAGGAATTTTAATAAGTCTCAGGCCTAAACTAAAAAGACTGGATGCTAGAATAATGAGTAATCATGGTTTGGTTACAGAAAGCTTCAATAATAATGTTCATAACTCTGTTGATATGCACAAATCTATTTATAATAATTGTATAAATGTCTTTTAACGACTTAAAGCATAGTCCCCAGAGAAGCCAAGAAGTTCCCAGTCAATTTGTGTGTGTGTTTTAGAGTTTGTTTGTTTTTTAAAAAAATGAACCTGTTTTTGTTAACTTGTAAATGTTGGAAACGGGCATAAAGAAGAAATGATGAATTCTCAGGAAACATTTTTTTAAACCTGCTTGCCAAAAAAAGAAAGAAAAACACTTAGCAAAAAACCAACATAAAGAGACCCCATTCCCCCAATTTTTTTTAAAAAGTGACTAAAATGTTTATTACCCTTTGACAGTTTGTTACTGTCTTGCTATTTAATCTCCTTTTCTTTTTCCAAGTGTTATTTCTCTGCCTGCAAACAACACTAAATTATTTATCATATTAAATGTACACCATTCTGTAGTGTGTGGCTATGCAATATGTGTGTGTTAGTAAAAGTGGCTTTGGGATCTAAACTATCTGTAGCTTGTCATGATGATTAGTTCTCCCATATGACTATGATCTCAGTTCTTCACATGGAGTTCTTATATATGCAGCTTTGACTTACTGAAATAGTAAGGCATGGTTCTAGAGTGAGAATCATGTTGAAATGAATGAGGAAACCATTATGTG